TATAATATGCTTAATTATCGTTTAAATTTATTTTATTAAAAAATTAATTGGACGTGACGTCTTCTTGATTTCGAAGTCTCACGACACAAGTTGTGACAACTTTGTAGTTCTAAGTTTTTTCCTAAAGATGAAATATTTCATAATCGTTAATCTAGATTAAATCATGAAAACAATATTTTTATTCACAATAAAAGGAGAGGACTTTTCTAACATTTTTTTTTAAAGGGAGTGAATTAATTAGATGAAACATTTATTTAATCCTATAAACTTGGAAGCACAAACTGTGATAATTTGATAGTTCTAAAACTTCTCTCTAGGACTTTAAAGCGTATCAAACCATTTTATAAAAAGAATTAGCTAAGGAGTATACTTTAGTTGGCTCCATCCTGCAGGACATGTGAATTGTGACAGTTCACAGATCCTACAGTAATAATAATAATAGTAATAATAATAATAATAATAATATTTATCATATTAAAAAATATTTCTTTTTTTCAATTTATTTTTCGTCGTCCCGTCGCGATCTCGGTTGCGACACCCTCTCAGTCAAGGACTGAGGCGAGAAAAGAGTGCACAACTTCGTTCATACAGAAAAAAGAAATGGAACTTAATGGAACTTAAGGAGCTACGGTGGGGGGATCCCCTTGCTTTGCTTGCTGGACGAGAAGATCTTCAGACTCTCGGCGTAACACTGCCGAGCTGTCTTCTAATTTGCTTCGACGGAAATGATCTTGCCGTCATTCCCTGGGAACTTCATGGTGAGGTGTGGAGTGGATACCACCGCTCCGAGCTGATTCAAGGTTGGCCTCCCAATAATGATGTTATAGGAGGTGTTGGCCTCCACGAGGAGGTATCGAACCATGATTCTTCTTATATCCGGAGGTATCCCGAAAGTTGTTAGTAGGTCTACGTACCCGCGAGTGTGAACTCGCTCTCCTGCGAAGCCGACTAGGGGCTCCGCGTGAGGTTGGATGAGAGAATGGGGGACGTCTAGCCTGAGGAACG